GAAACGTTTCTACATTTTTTTGTTGTTTTGCTTTGTTTTGTTTTTTTTTAGTGTCCAGAGGACCAGATTTAACTTTTTTGGATTTTTCTACCTGGATTATTGAGCATGCATCAGGATATCCATCCATTAACTTTACCCGCTTATTCCATTTTGGGTCACGGGGGTCGCTGGTGCCCACATCCAGCAATCACTGTGCGAGGGGCGGGGTACACCCTGGACGGATCGCAAGTCCATCACAGGGCTCTGGAGTGACTTATCAAATTCAATTCAAATTCAAAAATACTTTATTAATCCCAAAGGGAAATTATTTGTTGTTTTAACTCGTTATCCTCATTTCATTAAGAGATGTTATAGATACTGACGGCTGTAGACAGGAAGGATCTCTTGTAAAGGTCCATCCCACAGTGGATCCTAAGAAATTGGCTGCAGATGCCATCTGATCTATCCCCAGAGACTCTGCTGGCCTCTTGGTTCTTCCGGGCTGTAGGACCGCCTGAATGCCGGGCAGAACTCCTCCCAGAGCGATGGCCACACCTCCCAGCAGCCTGCTGAGCTCCTCATCACTGCGGACAGCCAACTGTAGGTGCCGAGGGACGATCCTGTCCTTCCTCTGTCATGAGCCGTGTTTCCTGCTAGTTCCAGGATCTCAGTGGTCAGGCACTCGAGCACAGCTGACAGGTAGATGAGAATGCATACACAGGACATCCTTTCAACTCATTTGAGATTTGGGGCTGTAGTTGAGATGTTATTTGAGCTTTTGAGATGTTAATCAGCTTCTGTTGGTTGTAGACAACTGCCTTGTTGCCATGGTTACGCATCATAACAAATGTCCAAAACTAAAAAAGTTTTAGTAAAAATCCTTCCAGCTGCACAGCATCTGATACCAGAGGAAACAATCATGCAAAAAACGTGATTTACATCCAGAAAAACAGGAATTAAAGTTTCCAAAAGCAAAATCTCAGAATGAAAGTAACAGAGCTGCTCCATCATGCAGCCACCTTGAGCGGCGCAATTCAAGAACTATATATATGCCAGAAAATACGGTAATTCTGGTAATTTTGTTTGGCATGTGGTTGCTATATATTTTTTCTTTTTGTGTGTGTGTGAGAAAACACTCTTGTACTACAATTCACCCCTTAGATTTTTTTATCCCTTTTTCCTGCCATACATCACTCTAAAAATTGTACTTCATTTTGACACACCCCTCACCACACACACACACACACACACATATATATATTATATTTTTTGCCAAAAAAGTTCAATTTATATTGGCCCGGATTGATTTCTTCTCCAAATATGTGTTTACCAGAACTGTAGTTAATCATAGCTTCACTTACATAAACAACATATGGACAGCATCATCTGAAGTTTGAGACAAGCTCACAACGTTCATCCATAGAAAAATTGGTTTCACCATTGTACTGCTCTAAAGGGGCATCCTTTTTTATTTATTTTTCTAAATTTTCCTTATTATGTATATAAATTACAAAACAGATTATAATTAACGGTTTGGAATTATTGCTAATATGATCCAGCGTTGTTTCTTATCACATGCATTTATCTTTCGATCCACTTTCTAATTTTACAAGACGTGAGGCCAGAGAGAGCATCGAGACCTAGTTTCTAATCTTGAGCCACATTGTTTTCAGAAAAAAACAGAAACAACTGAAACTGTGCTGATCTTTCATCACATGGTGTGTTTGGCTCTCTGAGGCCCAGTGAGTCAGTCCTTCATGGCCAGACCATGAGGAAGTTAAACTGCTTCCTCTGCCTCACCACCGGACATGTTTTTAACAGACAAAATATATGTTTTGAAAAAAAAAAAGTTTCTTTTACTGTATATCTTTTACACAGAAGTCTACATTTCCTAAATTCTGTATTATTAATTATTATAACCTTATTATACTCTATTAATTTGTATAAATTGCAACTAAAGTCAGTAAAACCAGTGGAATGATTAGAAAAAACAAAGTGTGAAGAGAGAGATATGTCACATGTGACACCGAATGTGCATAAGATAATCAAAAAAGTTTTAGCAGCATCCAAAAAGGTGTCATTGACTTAAAGGTGTTAAACCACATTATAACAATAGTGCATAGCTTGAGTTCGTTAATCAAATGTTGCAAGTAATACTTCGGAGCAAACATTTTCATTCAAGTCATTTTTATTTAAAATAATTAATAGTTTTGAGAAGTCTGCATCGTAAATATTCTGTTGTTGTAGGGACAGATCATGAAGGACATCTGGAGTGAAACAATCGCCAAGTCTTTTAGGTAAGTTTGTTTTCTGTGGTAACGTCTGCAGAAAGAAGCAACTGAATGAACAATGTTTATTTTTCATATATGTTAAAAATCCTGAGGAAAAGAATGATTCATAAAGTCTCGAAAGTCAATGCAAGGTGTTGAAGTCCTGGAGGTGTTTAAATAGAGCTCCCAAAAGATGCTGTTGAAGGAAAACATGAATGCTCCAGTTTTGATTTGACTTTTTCCACCATCCATCTAAACTGGCAAAGTAATAAACTGAGTAGGTCAGCAGTGCTATGGTTGAGCAGTACTGGAGACGGACAACGGAGACATTGTAAAAACAGACTATGGCTAAAGGAGCTAAGAGCTGATCACAGCATTTTCCAGAACAGGAAACAGTATATGTCACAGTGCCTGGCATTCAAGGTAGAGACAAGTATGAACATCTAGCTGATACAGTCGATGTCTGCATAAAGCACGCAGCATCATTAAGGACCACACCCACCCAGCACAAAGATTCTTCTCATTCTGAGCATTTCATTGTATTGTTGACCTTGTGTTAACCTGCATATGACAAATAAACAATATAACATAACTTAGCTGTATGAAAAGCTAACTAGCAGCACAAATGAACCAGCTGCACACAGCCAGAATGTTGGACCTGAGGACAAACGGTCTTGGTTAGTGAAGAAACCCCAGAAAAGACTTGCCCCTGTATAACATGGAAGCTCCTGTCAGGCATCATAGCAGCTAAAATAAAAACACAAACATGCTTCAGACAGTAACATCCAGCCGTCTATTTATTTTGTCTATTAGCTGCTTCTTCCTTTCTGGGTCACGAGAGTTGTGGGTGCTGATATCCTGCAGTCACTGAGCGAGTCTTTACATTACTAACTTTATCTCTTTGAACAAAGGCATGCAAAAAAATATAAAAAAATTGGGATCACATCTATGGTCAAAAGTGACCAATTGATGACACATCACTCAAAGGACATGAGTGACTTCAGAAAGAAATAGTTGAAGGTGAAACGTCTTATGAAAGGCTTTCTGAACTCAAAACATCAAAACTAATGTTATCAACTGCAGTAAAGAGGAAGTTCCCTATTTAGCTGTCACTCATTTGTATAAAAAAACAGAAAAAAGTTGTTTTTATTATGTCATTTCAGCTAGAGATGTCATGTGGTAGGTAATGAGTCAACATTAGAATTACCAATCTCAACAGAAGAAAGTAGGTGTTTGGGAAGAATTAAGAAAGCGTACAAAACCACTGGACAGTGTCAGCAATTTAGCTGAACCCACATCCTCTCTTGGGTACACACACGGCACATCATGCTGCACAAAACCTAGATTTATTTTTCCAGATAAAGCTCTAAAGTCAACTATTTAGTCCAAGTCAAAACTAAACAGCTCAAGATAGTTAACGGCTTGGCACTTTATTTCTGAGCACTCACCAGGTGTGACGGAGGGGTTTGAGAAGAAACTAATACGTGAAAATCCTTAGCAATAGTGAAAGAGGTGGAGAGAGAGTAGACTGATAGGGGGAGCCTCAGCAGGATATTTTGTCACTATGGTTACTGGAAGAAGATATTAATCTAGATTTCTGATTGTCAAGTTATTTTCACACGAGAGAGCGTGAGTGTTGAGTTGTTGGGCAACTCTTCTTACAACCATCAGCTTTTGAGTAAAAATTTGACATCCTGTGGCTCAGAGTGACTTCAGTTGAGTCTGTGGAGCAACGTTTTCCATCTGAGGTGAGCGTGTTTTCTTCATTTTATTCTGAACTAATATCAAATTATAGTTTGAGAGTTATTTGACTCAAAGCAAGAGAACTCATTGAGTCGGTTTGGTTAAAGTGGCTGTGGAAGAGAAGTTGATTTCCAGAGTCATGCTGCTAGTTTTAAGACAACAAATATCAAAATGGTCTTTTTGATGGTTTAAGAAACCCCTTTTTGTTGGTTCCTTTTCATATTTTTGAAATATTCATCATTTTAGAGTAGAAATATTCATTCAAATGGGATTTTTTTCAAGTCATAAATAAATTTTGGCAGAAAATTTTAACCTAAATTTCTTAAAGTAAATTCTCAATTTAAATATGTTTTACATCTTTTAAAGTCCAGAGTAAACGGGGGATTTTGCACACCACAACTTTGGTTTAACTTCTGATTTGGCGGTCAGGAAATGGGTTTCCTGCTGAACAACAAAAAATTAGACCTGATGAAAGATTCAGCTCAGTGAATACATCTTTCCTATGTCCTTACATAAGGAAGTAAACCTCATGCACAAGGCCAGATCTTTTAACACCTCTTTTTTTTTGCTGAGCTGTGTTGCAGCTGCATTCAGAGTCAGAGAAGTTATTGTTCACTGACTTCCTTTAAGTCACTTTCAACTACAAACAAAGAAAAAACAGCTGCACTTTTTAAGACAGTTTTGTTAATGATTCAAACATTTTTTTTCCATCCAAGCCCTTAAATTCCCTTTTATACACTGATCTTTTAATCTTGTTTAATCTCCAACTTCATAAAATAGAAATGATAAAATCCTCATCATGGTACAGTGATGTCAAAATACTTTTCATCTTCCAAAATTGCATGAAAAGATTTGATGACCTTATGAGTTTAAAAGTAATTACATTTTAAAGCTTCAAAAGTACATCAGCACATATTAAATGTAACTGTTGTTTTATTATAAAATGCACTTTTACTTCTTTTTTTTAAGTTTTTGACAGGATAGTGTGTTTAAAAAAAGTGGGAGAAGTGGAGTTGAATTTGGGCACTGTGGAGTTTTGCTAAAAAGAACCACTAGATGGCACTGTACTCCCAAAATATTAACCAGTATTTTTACTGTTTTAGATTCTGTACTAAATTGAGGCTTTAATAAGCCGACAGTTTCTTTGCTCAAAACATTACCTCTTTTGAGCTTAAAGGATGAAAAAGTTAACAAAAATACAAAGTAAATTATCAACAGATTTACAAATGTTCAAATTTGTTTTCAAACTGCCATCATATGTTGTATTTGTTTTAAGTCAACTTTTATTTTTAGATGGGCACAAATGAAAACTGCAAAAAAAACTCCAAGTTAAAAAAAATGTCTGTCCCAAATGAATACTGAAAGAAGTAAAGCTGTGGCTTCTTCTACTTCCTTTTTGAAAGTGAGGTGGCAAACTGTGAATACGCGCGAGTGCATGAGTTTCATTTCAACATGTGCGCTTGGTGTTGTTTTACTTAAGCTTCTTCTTCTGACAGCAGAAATATTTTAACAAGCACATTAACACATATCAAATGTACCTAAAGTCTTTGTTTTACTTCCTTTTTGCAGTTTCTGGTTCCAAAACCAAGACGATGGATTCTGAGAACATGACAGTCCCACTCAGTAATTCAACCTGTAAGACCCTCTATGACCACCGGAAATATGCTAGCATCTTCATACCTCTTATCTACTGTGTTGTGTTTTTCGTGGGGTTGTTCGGTAACGGCCTGGCCCTCCACGTCATCCGAGCCAATCAGAAGAAGCTCAACTCCACCACTCTGTACTCTCTCAACCTGGTCATCTCGGACATCCTCTTCACTCTCTCCCTGCCTCTCAGGATGATATACTATGCTCAAGGCTTTCACTGGTCCATGGGTGAAGTTCTTTGTAAGATCTCAGGCTTCATCTTCTACATTAACACCTACGCAGGGGTCAACTTCATGACCTGCCTCAGTGTGGACCGTTACATTGCCGTGGTCTTACCTCTGCGCTTTGCCAAATTCAGGAAGGTCAATAACGTTCGCTACATTTGTGCTGGTGTGTGGCTATGGGTCTTGGCGCAAACCCTCCCTCTCTTTTTCATGCCTATGACCAGTGAAGAAGATGGAAACTTCCTCACCTGCATGGAATACCCCAACTTTGAGAAGATTGACAATGTTGCCACCATTCTGATTGGTGCAGTCTTCTTGGGTTACGTCATCCCTGTGATCACCATCCTGGTGTGTTACTCTGTCTTGTGCTCCAAACTCCACCTAACAGCCAAAACCAACCATTTGACTGAAAAGTCTGGTAGCAGTCGCAAGGCCATCGGTGTGATCTGCTGTGTCTCGTTGGTGTTCGTCGTCTGTTTCAGCCCTTATCACATTGACCTTCTGCAGTACATGATCCGAAAGCTGGTGTCGAACCCAGACTGCGCTGATCTCACTGCCTTTCAGGTATCGCTGCACATCACAGTGTGTCTGATGAACTTAAACTCCTGCTTGGATCCATTTATCTACTTTTTTGCCTGCAAGGGGTACAAAAGGAAGCTCTTGAAGCTGCTAAAGCGACAAGTCAGCGTTTCTTTCTCTAGTGCAGTGAGAACACCACCTGAAGGCTCCTCCAAGGACTTTCTTGATGGTAACAAGATTCAACTGAACAGTGAAAGACTCACAGAAAGTAGATTAAACTCATACGAGTTAACCTGAAAACTGAGACAAGATGAAAGGACATGGACGGACTTGGACAGTTCCTAAAATTACTGCTAGTGGATGTCGTGGACTACAAGAGGCTACTCAATTCCTGGAATTAGACGGATTGTTTTTCCAAGAAAAATGATCACCAAGTGTTATTTTATTTCTTTTATGAAAAACTCCTTGTCATTTTTAATGTATATTTGTGAATTGAGCTTAAAAATTTGTATTTTGGCAGCTACAACAACAAGAAAATAAAACCTGCCTTGTACCGGAAAAAAAATAGCTAATTGGAGTGATGCAGGTGCGGTAAAGTGAGAGTGAACAACCAGCTGATGAAAGGATGAACGTCAACGACCTAACATACATTTCAACTTTAGTTTCATCATTCCAATTAGCTGAAGAAACATTTATAGAGTGACAAATGCATGAGCAAAGTTAAAATCCTTTAGTCGTTATTTAACGTGAAAGTTCACAACAGTTCACCAGTCAGTTGACATTTGAACAAATGCACCCAGTAATGTTTATATACATTTATATATATGTAAAAAAAAAAAAAAAAAATATATATATATATATATATGTATATACATATATACAGAGTATGAATGTTAAAACAAAAGAAGTTCTGATGTAAGTTTCAATTTGACATAAAATCAGACAATGTTTTGGGTCTTTTACCGTAGTTTCAGTTCAGTGCACACAGCTGCCAGCTCTCAGAGTGAGAAAGCCAAAACTAGAAAAGAAAAAAAAAAGTGTAATGTGTTGAAGGTTTTCCGTTATAAAATCCATTTGTGTGCTTGGGTTTAGCATTTATTTCCATTATTTTGACAGTGATTAGAGTTTAAGTTTCTAGAGGGTTTTTGGAAAGTGAAACATCATTTGAGACTCCATATACCTGGAAATAAAACTTTGATCATTTAACAGGCCTAGAATATTGACTTTATATTGACTTTGAATATTGTGTGTAAACTGTTGCAAATGTAACTAATGCCAAACGTGTATGTTTTCAAATCTGATTGTCAGATATACCTCTGCTCTCATCATTGATAATAATAATGTCTCTGCTCTTATTTATTCAGCTGTCAACCAGTTTTAGGTCAATGCTTCAGAACTACTGCAAAGTTTGTCAGTTTCTACATTAGATTGTTATAAATTATTTCCATCTATTCGTCATTTTTACCTGCTTCTTACTTTTTGGGTCGCTGGGGTCACTGGTTTCCATGTCCAGCAATCACTGTTCGAGAGATGAGGTACGCCCTGGACAGGTCTCCAGTCCATCACAGGGACACATAGAGACAAATGAGACAAACAACCATTCACTCTCTCTCTCACACCTAGAGACAATTTAGAGTTACCAATCAGCCTAACATGCATGTTTTTGGTCTGTGGGAGGAAACTGGAGTACCTGGCGAAAACTCACGCATGCATGGAGAGAACATGCAAACTCCGCTCAGAAAGACCCCTGGCAGAGATTTGAACTGGCGACCTTCTCGCTGAGAGGCAGCAGCTCTACCAACTGAGCCACCATGCTGCCCCCAATTTGAACATTTCTACAAAAAACTTTAGCACTTGTTTAGATACATCAGAAATATTAAGTTTGGTCCGAACCATTAAAAAACATCATTATTATGTAGACGACCCCAACATATAACTGGAACAATAAGAATCAGTTAAGCCTCACCAAAAAAAAAAACGTTTCTGTGGAAATGTAACTTTTACTGCCAGTATGTCTGCCTTTAGATGTTTTTTCCTCTGCAAAACTTTGACTGTAGTGTGTTGGTGAGATTAAATTATACAGATTTAATTTACAAAGGACGGTGGAGTTTAATCAAGAAAGCCTGGACCAGTACCCTTAAAAATGTGGACAAGACTTAATGCTCTTTCAAACAGTTTAACTTGTTCTCTTGTTGTCTGTGTTGTTCTTTTTAAAATTGAATAAATGTGTGTGCAGCTCTGTAAAGTTTTGTGTTATTATTAAAAATATCAAAAAGACATGATTAAGTTATATCTGAATTTATGTTGTAAAAGGAAGTCATCTCAAGGCACAGTTGTAAATATTGTATTCTTCCCCTATCAGAAACAAAAGTATCAACAAAATGTTCTGTTGTTGCCTCATGCACGCTTCACATCTAAAAACATTAATTTCACCTCCTGCTGTAAAGTCATGCAGGATTTTAGAATTAGCAATTACTTCTGTGTGAAAGATTGTAACAAACATGTTTTTTTTTTAAATAAATGATCTGCGTTCAAGTGGAAAATGTTCAGTTTTTATACATTTACTAAATATTTTACAAATATAGCACAGTGATTAGAAGAGTTCTCATCTTAGACGTTCCTTAGAGATGTTGTCTGCTTATCATCTACTCCAGTTGGATCAAACTTCATACCTATCTGTAGGTGCGAACGTGAACTTGTACAAATGAAATTTGGACAATGGTCTTCTCGTTCACATAAACAACCAGGATAAGTTGAGATAGTTGACCAATTCAAGGCTGAGTGGGGAAGCCAAATTCAGATAACACAATTATTTTGGGTCAGGCAGACTCTGCTTGATTTCATGTCTGCCTTCATAGTTCTGCTGGTACATCTCATAGGCGATTCCAAACAGCCAAATGTTGTGTTCACACTGCCGGACTGAGCTTGTATCCTTGTCCAAGGTCGATTCTTGCTGCCAGTGAGTCGCAGGAGCTGCAAGTGGCCTGCGATTCTCAGAAACTGCATCCAACTTACGGCTCAGCTCATGCAGCGTCTGAGTCTGAGAGCTTATCACTCAGTACATTGCTTCATGCAGGGTAGGCAGCCTGACAATTGCCAGAACCGCTGCCGCCGTTTTCCGAATGTGTTAAGATGCCAGATACCCACCAACACTAAAAAGCAGAAATTATCATATCGGTTATCATAAATCCAATTATGTACGTGTCTTCTACATCCTCGACATAGAAGACAGACAGACACACCATCTTCCACTGGCCCTAAGAATCCATATCATATCCAGCAGTGAGTGTTCCTTCAGGCCATGAGGGTTCTCCTTCACCTTGTCTTCTCCTCGAGAAAATTTTGTCAATTGCGTTGAGACCAGCTGACCAGATGAAGAAAGAGATGTGTTGCACTGCTTTAGGCAAATGGTGGTCATACCAGGTATGAACTGGTTTTCTGAACAAGAAACGTTCTACATAATATCTAAAAAAGTTAAATCTGATCCTCTGGACATTCAAAAAAAACAACAAAAAAAACAAAGTAAAACAACAAAAAAAAAAGGTAGAAACGTTTCGGCTTTCATCCGAAAGACTTCCTCAGTCTGAGGAGCTGTATTCAGCTCAGTCTCATGATTAGCACCTTCTCAGAGTGGATCAACCAGTTTGCTGCTGACAACCAAAACCAGCTGCTCCATGGTCATGCTCAAGAAGGACCATCAGCCTTACAATGGATCATTAGCACACTGATGGCTGTGTACTATTCACAGAGGGCTGAGTGATACTAGCAATCACAGCATTGTAAGAGAGGGACAGTTGAACCCGGAGGCCTCCACCCCTGTTTAATGATGGACGATTTCTTTTCACAAAGATGGCCTCCTTTACTCCTCTCTCAAACCATCGTTCCTCTCTATCCAGGATGTGAACATCTTCATCCCTGAAAGAGTGACCGCTGGCCTGGAGATGAGTGTAGACCGCAGAGTCCTGGCCTGATGATGTTGATCTTCTGTGCTGGGCCATCCTTTTGGCCAGTGGCTGTTTTGTTTCCCCGACATAAGACTGATCACAGCCCTCCTGACACTGAACAGCATACACAACATTACTCTGTTTGTGCCGGGGGACTGGATCTTTGGGATGAACCAGTCTCTGTATTTTATATTTTGGGGTTTAAAAGCCACTGGGACGTTGTGTTTAGAAAGTATCACTCAGCCCTCTGTGAATAGTAAACAGCCATCAGTGTGCTAATGATCCATTGTTAGGCTGATGGTCCTTCTTGACCATGTGAGCAGCTGGTTTTGGTTGTCAGCAGCAAACTGGTTGATCCACTGTGAGAAGGTGCTATTTTTAAGACTGAGCTGAATACAGCACCTCAGACTGAGGAAGTCTTTCGGATGAAAGACGAAACGTTTCTACATTTTTTTGTTGTTTTACTTTGTTTTGTTTTTTTGAATGTCCAGAGGACCAGATTTAACTTTTTTAGATTTTCTACCTGGATTATTGAGCATGCATCAGGATGTTCTACATAATATTTTGACTTTTTGAGCTTATGAAACTCTTCAGTGCATTTAGGGTTAGAGTTTGATGATCCAGTTATGGGTGGACAATAATTTGACATAGCAAATCAATCATTATTGTTTACAGCAAACTTGGTTTACTGACAACAGCCCTCGTTTTCTCCCCCATGTGTGATATTGCAAATTTATTTGCTTAGATTACAAATATTTGAAATATAAACCTTGAATTTTTATGTGATGGTGAGGGAAGAAAAATAGACAAAATATTTTTGCATTATCTCTGTTCCTTACATGGCAGTACATCATACAGTACGTTGAATTTCAGTAGCAGATGTCACAGAAACTAGACCCAACAGAACATTCAGAAAATTGAAGTAAAACATGATTGCATGAATCCAGTAAATACGTAAACTTAGCAAAACCACCAAGCAATTCTTATAATAAGGCCATGATGCCTGGTGATCATGAGATTTTTATTAGTTCCAAAAGGAGAAGTAGGATTGGAAGAATAAAACTCATTTCAATTTTTCTATAATTAATTAGAAAATTTATTAATACATTGAAAGAAAGAAATCATATTCATTTTAATTTGAGTCATTGACAATTACTGGGGTTGTGTTACTTTATGTAATATCACCATTACACTGCATCATAGGGTTAAAGGAACTTAAAAAAACGAAACTTTTTTTTTTTAAACACGTCAGTATGAGACGGAATGAACTGTTTACTACTTAGATGTTATCATCGTAACCACAGTGTGCACAAACTGACGGTGTTGACTGTCACCTTAGTGCATGATGAATATTTGACACTAATCTGTGACCTTTTGGGTTGAAAGTGGAAAAAACAAAAACGATAAGAAAACAATCGTGCTGTCGAGAAAAACTTTAGGAATTATTGAAAGCTCCATGCAGTTATCAAAAAGTTCTTCAAACAAATAAAAATTTCTGAGCAGTGTGTTGCTTATTTTTTTTTTTTGTGTGGAAACAAGCAAAAATTGCTAATTAAATGCAAATGCTTAGTAGAAGTGACACTTATTCAATTTATATGTTTCATCTTTCTGTCATTTTGTCATAAATATCAGCTGCCAAAGGCCAATTTAGAACTTTGTCTCATAAAAAACAAGGTTAATCAATAGTAAAACACTAAAAATGACTTTGTTCTCCCCATGACGTCTAGTGTATTTGAACATAGTTGAATGATAAATTATAAAGTTCCATATTAATTATGATTTAAAATATGATAAGTGAGTATTAAGTGTAACACAGCATATTACAATGTGTTATATTTTGACCTCTTTGGAAGTTTAATTTCTCTTTTTTTCTATTTGTTTTGGCTCTGAGTCCCTACCTGATAGTCTATCTGCTTTGTTTGCAGTAAACAGTGCATTTCACACATATAATTGCCATCTGCTTTATCGCCTTCCTTCATAGGCTGACGTCTTTGGGGGATTCTGTAAATGTGCTCGTTTTCAAGGAATGGACTTGATGAAGATGCTGTTAATGTGGCAAAATATCAGGCAACAAAAATAATAGCATAGCTGTTTTTTTGTTTTTGTTTGTTTGAAATTTGAATAAGCTAGATCACAATCTTTTTTGTATTAATAAATACATAAAACTACAACTGTCCTAACTGAAATTACTGAAGAAATGCACAAAAAGATACACAAACAAAAATACCAGTGGTTAAACTGAAGGTAGCTGAATTTTCCCTTTTCAGTTTTTCTTGAAGATGTTTTGTTTCTCACTTCATATTTGAAAGGGATGGAGTTTCAAATTTACAAAGTTGAAACACTTGGAGCCCCACACCTTTCAGTTTAGAACTGAGAAAGCTTTTCAAAAATTAAGCATAATGTCTTTAACAAGGGCCCGTTTCAATCATTTTATTTTTCTAGGCAGGAGTTTGTGTTGGGACAACTCTCAACCACCAAGAAACAAAATTCCAGGCCAATACCTGAATAAGCCAGTTTTAATCCTTGAATCATGTTGACTATAAAAGCTAATCATTGTTCTAGAATTGCGCCGCTCGGGGTAGCCGCATGATAGAGAAGCTCTGTCACAATTTTTCTGAGTTATTGCTTTTGAAAACTTTAATTCCTCTTTTTTTCTGAATGTAAATTGCTTTTTTCGGATGATTATTTCCTCTGGTATCAGATGCTGTGCAGCTGGAAGGATTTTTACTGAAACCTTTTTACTTTTGGGCATTTGTTATGATGCGTAACCATGGCAACAAGTTTTTTTTTTTTCAACTGGGAGCAGCTGATTAACATCTCAAAAGCTCAAATACCTCAGCTGCGACCCCAAATCCCAATGAGTTGAAAAGGAGGTGCCATGGACGAATTCCCATCAACCTGGTGGCGGTACTCGAGTACCTGACTGTCGAGATCCTGGATCTGGTGGGAAACTCAGCTCGTGACAACGGGAGGACCAGGATCATTCCTCGGCATCTTCACCTGTGTGTCCGTTGCGACGAGGAGCTTGGCAGACTGCTGGGAGGAGGGACCATCAGTCAGGGAGGAACTCTGCCCAGCATTTGGGCAGCCCTGCTGCCCTGGAGGACCGAGAGGCCCGCCGGGTATGACATTAAGCTGGATCCAGGTGGTCGGATCGGTATCTGTGTCCAGATTATTTGGATTCGCTGCAGGAGATCCTTCCTGCCCACAGCTATTAGCATCTATAACAACTCTTGAATGAAACCAGGGGGATGAGCTACAACTCTTAATTTCCCTTTGGGATTAATAAAATATTTTTGAACTGAATTTGAATTGAATTACTCAATTGATGAAGATGTGGTGATTACTTTCTGCTTTATGGAGGTGAGGTAATACATATATCATTGTCATATCACTATTTCAGGCTGGACTGGCTTCACCCTGTCATATTAGTTCATGCATTCGTTTTTTTCAGTCCCACTTTGTTTTATAACAGGAAATGTGGTTTGAGCTGTGAGGAGGAAAATACTTTGGTGAGGGCACAGACACTTACTTAATCATTCTCACAATTTGTCCCCAAAAGGTCATTTCTTGTCCTTATGAACACGCTAAAAATGTACCAGTGAAGTGACTTGTGCAACAACAAGAAAAAATAAAGTTAAGACCGTAATCTTCCATCCTTCCATTATCTTTTACCCACGCCTTTCTTTGTGGGTTGTGGGAGTCACTGGTGCCCATATCCAGCAGTCAGAGGCGAGGGACACACTGGGCAGGTCTCCAGTTCACTTTAAAACAGTGAAGCAGTTTTTTTTATGATGATGTACAGTATATTTTCTTTATAGCATCATTACTGGGCACAAAATGAGATAGTATTGTAATATTTCATGTCAGCCTCTAGAGGACAGTATAAAACAAGTTAAAAATATAATAATAATAATAATAATAAACCTCGTAATCTAGGCCTCCTGCATGTGCTGTCCTAAAAAATTTATCTATGTGAAATGTTTATATTTACAGGTAACATGTCATAAACCCCTCCAAAAACACACACTGCTTGATGTTACCTAGAAGTGTTTGTGTGATGGAACATGGCCATGTTCATCCACACTATATTGTTTATTATTGAGCTGATTTATGGAGCATTTTGTGAGGAGCTGAATACTCAGCGAGGCAACCGCTTGACAAGTTTCAAAGAGAGGAAAACATCACACAGACTGTTGTCATAACAACATATTGCAATGTACACCGAGTGCCATCTGGTAGGAGATTTTTGAGACACTTCAAGAGGACGAGCCGATGGGTAATTATTTCCCAGGAATAAGAATTAGACTGAATGATACAAACACGGCTTTGGAAACGCAGTGATAATAAAGTTTATGGGGGGGGAGATTGGAAGGAAGTTGTGGTACTAAAGCAAAAATGGAAGCCGAGTGTTTGACAGCAGAAGAGGTCAAACCCTCAGACAAGAGGCAGACAGGAAGTTGAGGGAAAGGGTGTATCTATTTCATAAGATCTATATAAAGGAATTGAAAGTAGCAGTTAGATCAGAATGAGAAGTTTCACGCTCCCCAACATTCTTTGAGCTGTGTGTCCTAATTTATGGCTCTTAGGAGCTCAAACACAAATTAATCACACACATTAATCTGTATTCAATCCTGGCGCAGACTGACCTTGAGCGTTTCACCTGAAGTATGCGCTTTGCATCCATTAAGTCAGTATGATATAAAACCATCTCACAGCATCAGCGTGAAGTGTCTATTACTACAGTCTTATTTCCTGTTTATATGGCAACTGCCTCAACATCCTGTTTTTAATTACTTCTCTCCAGCAGCAGATGCTTCTCACAGCAACCTGCTGTGGATTACTCCCCTGAGAACTAATGTGCTGTGACAGACCCCACTTTTCCAATCAATAACTCGCCCTAAATCTGCCATCTCCTTGCCTGCCAAACACACTCCCACTTCTAATGGCACATCATTTTCTTTAAGGGGGTGTAATTGCGTACTGCGGAAAAGCTGCATAGCCCTCTCGTTTTCAAACCACGCAGATACTGTAAAGGAATGTATAAAGTACAGAAACTGCAGCTCACAGGAAGTGATGAGGATGGTGGTGGGGGTGGGGGGCTTCACAGAGCATTCAGTTTCGCCACCATCACATTTGACAAAAATATTTTACTTCCCTGTTTTGGCTCTTTACTGCAAAGAGTGCAGTCAAACTCACTTTTGCTTCACAAACGTGTTGGCAGGCGAACTGGTCGAGATGTTTGTTTGATTCTGATGGTAAGTAAAGACTTTTACTGCCCAGTCACAACTTCCTTTATCTGTGTTACCTTTGAAACTCAAGGCAGACGTCTGTTACAACCACTCACTATATGTAAAAATAAAATGTTTAAATGTGGTTTATTATTACTTAAACATGAAGAGGAAAAAACGAGGTGCTAAAATGAAATACTAACATCACAATTATTTTAAAGAGCTCTAATTTTTTTTTTACTATCTTTACATACAATGATTTTAAACATTATTCTGTTGTTGTAATGTGTTGTAATTTTAATGTTATTGTATTGTATTTTTATTGTATTTCACTGTTACTGTGTTGTATTTTTATTATATTGTATGTTGTTTTATTGCATTGTATTACATTGTATTTTATTGTATTGTATTGTCTGTTATTGTATTGTATTGTATTTTTATTGTATTTATATTATTGTATATATGTTATTGTATTTTATTGTTATTGTATTGTATTTTTATTGTATTTATGTTATTGTATTGCATTGTCTGTTATTGTATTGTTTCCTTTTTGTATCATATGTTGTTGTGTTGTATTGTTGTTGTATTTTATGTTATTGTATTTTTATTGTATTGTATGTCATAGTATTGTCTGTTATAGTATTCTATATTATAGTATTGTCTGTTATAGTATTGTCTGTTATAGTATTGTCCTTTATAGTATTGTATGTTATAGTATTGTATGTTATAGTATTGTATGTTATAGTATTGCATGTTATTGTGCTGTATGTTATTGTACTGTATGCAGTGTTATCATCTTCTTCTTTTTCTTTCGGCTGTTCCCTCTTCAGGCTTGTCACGAGAAGTCTTCCTCCTCCATCTAACTCAAATGTTTGTTTATTACTCACTTAAATTTATTTTTACCCAAAGGCTCATTCAGTCCTTACATGGTCTCCTGCTTTGTCGTTCTACAGTCCAGCTGCACATGATTTTTTTATTTTTACTTAAAGATTATGATCACTAACCAGCAGCTTCTGCAAACTGTAAAACATTTACATATTTAGAAGCAGCACACTTTCTATTTTAATCACAGAGCAACCTCAGGAAACCTCACTCAGCTTTCTGACCCAGAAACATGAACTGAGCAGAAAAAAAAATAAATCTAAATGTCTCTAAAGCACAACTTTATTGTCTTTATTGTTGTTTTTTCTCTTAGATTTCACTCACTTGGACAACTGCAGGATTATCTTCAATTTAAGTAAGTTGTATATGTATATACTTTGTATATGAGGTCACTATAAGGCCCAGATTCAGCTGAATACATGGCTAAGAAAGTTATGTACAGGTTTACATCTGATCAACTGATTGATCTTTGGAGTGAACTTGATGCAAGATGACCCCTGCAACTACGTAATTATAAAATACAACATTACTCAGTCAAATTTACATTTATTGAGCTAAAGTTTGATGTGCTTGAAAGTCAGTCACAACACCTAGTCCACACTCAGCTCTTTGTTTAAAATGTTGGCATTTTGGCTGATAAAGTCTATTAACCTATGCATGTGTTCAAGGAATAAGAATGATAGTCCAAATAATTTAATGATGGCAAACCTAATGTTTACTTGTTTCTTGTTTATTGTTGCCAAGCTTTCTTAAATGCACTGTTGCCACAAATGTCCAAATGAGTATTTACGTATAATTTTGTGAACAATAATGTTTCCTGGTTCTACGTACCGGTATATGTTTTTAGTTCAATTTTCATTGTATTACAGATTTTAAATAGTTTTATTAATAATTCAGATATTATGTTTGTATATTAAACACCAATCCAAACTATTTAGAGGCATATATTGTTTTTTTTAAACAAGGAGGAATAAAATTTTGTTCTACTTTTTATACTCTAAAAGGCAAATCAGTATTTTCAAATTAGTGCAAGAACTGGATTTCACCTTAAATGTCAGAATAGTTTTTTAAGCACGAGTATTTATAAAAATATTTAAACCAAAAGAAGTTTAAAATGTACATTTAAAACAAACATCTTTGTTTTCCTTTTCAGCATGAATGTAGACCTAAACTTTTCCAATATCTCTGTGGAATCGCTGACGATGAGGACAGCACAGGGTCCAGTAGAGTACCGTGTGGCAAGCCTGGTCTTCTACGGCATCGTTTTCACTATCGGAGTCGTAGTTAATGTCACTGCTCTATGGGTGTTTGCTCTGACGACCAAGAAGAGAAACTCAGTCACTATCCACATGATAAATGTGGCCTTGGTGGACCTCACCTACATCTTGTTGCTTCCTTTCAGAATGGTATACCTCCAACAGGACTATTGGCCTTTTGGAGATATTTTCTGCCGGGTCACGGCTGCTCTAACCATTTTTTATCCCTGTATGGCTCTGTGGCTGTTTGCACTGATCAGCACAGACCGCTACATGGCCATTGTGCAGCCGAAGCATGGCAAGGAGCTGAGGAACGTCCCAAAAGCTGTGGTGGGCAGCCTGGGGGTGTGGTTGATGACCTTGGGCAGCAGCATACCCTTGCTCTTCTCTGAAGATGACCCCGATCGCATCTCGAACTTCACCACCTGCATCAAGATGCAAGACATCATCTACATGCGCCACAACAACGTGGTAAACTTTGTTAGACTCATCTTCTTTTTCCTCGTGCCCATTTGTATAATGATCGTCTGCTACATCATCATTGTGGACAATCTCATCCACGGCCGCACTTCTAAACTCAAACCAAAAGTAAAGCAGAAGTCCATTCGGATCATCATCACGCTCATCGTCCAAGTGCTGGTGTGTTTTGTGCCTTTCCACATCTGTTTGGTGCTCCGTTTGCTGGGAAACAGCGAAGACGGAGGGTTCAACTCATGGGCAGTCTTCACCACCTTCCTGATGAATCTCAGCATGGTCTTGGACATCATTTTATACTACATCGTCTCAAAGCAGTTCCAGGACCGGGTGATCAGTGTGATCTTGTACAGGAACTACTTACGGAGCGTGAGACGGAAGAGCAGGCACACTCACACAGGAAGCATCCGATCACTGAGCAACCTGACTAGTGCCATGATATAGATCTTCTTGCCCAGCAGCTCCCTCAAACTGTAACAGTTGTACATAATGTAACATTGAACCCATCGCCATATTCTGTACATGATTAATTATCAAAAAGCACAAAAAGTTGCAGTTACTTGCAGAGGGTAATTTGTTGTACCACCTGTGTTCAGCGCTGACTGACTCACCCACGAGACTGAAAATGTTTTTCTTTTTTTATTTGGACGACCAAACGTGAATGTCTCTTACTCAGGCGTGACACATGCAGCTGAAAGTAAAGCTCACAATCGTTTTAAACTCAGCCTGCAGCAGTCTCACATTTTGCTTTGTTGCTCACAAACATCAAAACTTCAGCAGAGATAAAAATTCTAGAATTGCGCCGCTCAAGGTGGCTGCATGTTGGAGCAGCTCTGTTACTTTCATTCTGAGATTTTGCTTTTGGAAACTTTAATTCCTGTTTTTCTGGATGCAAATCTTATTTTTTGGATTATTGTTTCCTCTGGTATCAGATGCTGTGCAGCTGGAAGGATTTTTACTGAAACTTTTTTGGGCTTTGGACATTTGTTATTATGCGTAACCATGGCAACAAGGCAGTTTTCTACAACAGCAGCTGATTAACATCTCAAAAGCTTAAATAATATCTCAACTATGGTCCCAACTCTCAAATGAGTTGAAAAGGATGTTATGTGGACGCATTCTCATCTACCTGCCAGCTGTGCTAGAGTGCCTGACCACTGAGAACCTGGAACTAACAGGAAACACGGCTCATGACAGCAGAAGGACAGGATCGTCCCTCAGCACCTACAGTTGGCTGTCCGCAGCTATGAGGAGTTCGGCAGACTGCTGGGAGGAGTGGCCATCGCTCTGGGAGGAGTTCTGCCTGGCATTCAGGTGGTCCTACAGTCCAGGGGAACCGAGAGGCCAGCCAAGTCTGGGTGGACGGATCGGACGGCATCTGCAGCCAGTTTCTTAGGATCCACTGTGGGATGGACCTTTACAAGAGATCCTTCCTGTCTACAGCATCAGTATCTATAACATCTCTTAATGAAATGAGGATAACCAGTTACAACAACAAAATAATTTCCCTTTGGGATTATTAAAGTATTATTGAATTGAATTGAATTGAAAACACGACCACCTTCACAGGAAACAACGGTGATTTCTTGAATGTTGCTGCTTTTTTGTGGTGGGGGGGTGGCTGTTTAAAGATCAGCCTCTGTAGCACCTCCGGAGAACTGGGAAGTGAGCAACCATGACTGTGTCATGATGTCACTCGTGTGTTGAGTCAATTGTTTGCCATTTTGTATTTGTTGAACCTGAGCCAAAGACAAACCAGTTAACATCACTTCAAGTTGCTCTAATCCAACTGGCCAGGTGATGGCAGCATGGCACAGTTTGACTTCATTCACAGGCTGGAGTTCAAAACTACTTTTTAAAGTTTACCAAAGTGGACAACTTAATAGTTTTTTTTGGCCTTAATTTTAATTTTATTTTATTTTTTGCAATTAATGAAAGCAGAATTTCAGTTTGTCCAGTTAAACGTCATAACAGCTTTCACAAGCAGGAATCTGACGAAAAGTGTGTTTATGGTGCAATATGAATAGTATTGATTAGATGTTAAATGATTTAGTTGCTTGGAGTGCATTTACAGTAACATGCTCGAGAGATGTCAGAGAAGCTATTTAGAAGATTTACTGCGACCTTACCCTTTAAAAAGAAAAACCGTTGCAGCACAGGACGTTTCAGTGCGAGGCCTCTGCTGCTGCAGGTAGAAGATGCAATTTACTCTAAATGTCCCCAACTAAAAGACACATGTTGAGTCAGTGTTAACTGGAGGGAGTTGTTTGTCCATGTGCATTTGTGTGTGTGTAGCTTTCTTCAAGCTACGAGATGATTTGTATCTATTGCAACATGTAACAGCCATGAATAAAAAGAGTCCAAAATCACAAGATTGCATAATGTTTATTTAAAAAACTGGAAAACGCAAATACATTTCACAACTAGACAAAACAGAAATAGTATAAACCCAAAAGCATGACACGCTAAGCTAAAAACACAGAAACATTTCATGAAGCACATTTATCAAAATAATTCAAAGGGCAACAAATCGCCCCAAAGAATTAAAACAAAAAAAATTCATGAAACCCAACTAAATTCTATAAATATTGTCAAAGAGCCACAATAAATCTGACAACCCAAGTTCAGACAATTCCCCAAAAGCACAACTACGGTTAAAGAAAGGAAACTTCAACAGAAAGCAACAAAGTTTCAACAAAATCCCAGTAAACACAAATTAATTGAATAAAAGTGAAAGCTAACATTCAAAGTATTATGAATAGTTTTTTTTTTTTAAGGTAACTACATTTCTTTTCAGGGATTTGCTCACATAAACAGAGTAACTTGATGCAGTTTAAATTTTAAAAGTGGACTTGTCAGTTTGATTAACAATAGGAAGCAAAATGATAGCACAAATAAGAAAAGACCTTTAAAAAAAGTTTTTTTTGATAAATAATCAAGGATTCAAGGTTCTTTATTTGTCATATACGCACCACATGTGGTACATGTGGTGGAACAAAATTATAGGGTCCCAATTACATCTGACAAAAAGTATAAAAATGTAAAAGAAAACAGTAATAAAATCTAAGATATGAACTAAGAAAAACATCAACTAAAAATACACAAAGCATTAGTATCATAAAAACAATACACCAAACAGCAGCATGATGAAGTCTGAACCAACATGAGTTGATGTAACGACATTTTGCAATTCACAAAATTCACATAATATTGTAGCAAAATGAACAAAATTGGACTGTATGTTCATGGATCTTATCTTGGCCTACTGGACTGAATTGAATTAAATTTGAAAAGTCGATTGTTTTTCAAAGCACCACTGAATATCTTTGTTGTCATTCAACTAAACTGAATTCAACTAAAATACTGCTAACCTCCTATCTTTTTAGTGTTCACAACACATTTCATGAAAACATATTAGCACGACAGAAAACACAAAACCAAAACAAATCCTATAGAAATGACCAGATCTCTTTTGTTTAGAACAAATCATAATTTGGATCTGATTTTATACCGTTTTAATCAGTGATGCTGGTGTTTAACACCGTCCCCACACATTTGTCCCTGCATCCAACACTGAGTTAGAATAATCATCTTATTATACGGTTTATTTCTAAGTTAGACAGTTGGACACCTGGAAGCTTTATCATGTGTACTGGCAGTTCACAAAATAGGCCGAAATGGCAATGAACAATTCCAGTATAAGGTTTTACATTGAAGTATTTTATATGAGAGGAAACTTTAAGCCAGCTCTGCGATGCTGTAAGAGGCCACAGAGAGGTCACTTTGCACCACGTCCATATAATATTTGGCTGAAGATGAAGGTCATTCTGTGCGTGTGATACAGAGAGGATAGATTTACTTTGTGTTAAAGAAGAAAAGGCAGACTACTAGATTTCCATTTCATGTGGAATACTGGGAAGTACACTCCATCATATGCTGATAGGTTTATTGGCCGGTGGACTGCAAGTGGATTTATATCCAAGAAGTCAAAGGTCGAATGAAACATCAGAGGGTCGTCTATCTGTCCCACCTGTTAGACATAAAAGAAAAAGCAGTCACGCTGCTCAAAGCAACTGGCATTTAAAACAATTAAGTTTCCTGTCAAGTCGCTGTGATGAATTATCCGGAAGCTTTACCCGCTGTAATTCTACGTCTTCCCAACAAGTGCTTTTGTTGTAGAGAAATTAATGAAAACAAGATTGTCTTTCATAGGAGCTGATCTAACAGTGCGACAGCCAGCTGCTCTTCTTTGGGAATAAAAAAAAAAAAAAACAGTCAGCATTAAACACAGCTCACACAAAATACTTCTTTTTTTTTTTTTTATTCCACCACTCGTGTGGAAAACAAATCAGGCAGCAGGCGCAGTGGCCATCTGTTTTGTTATTTGATATGTGTGAATACATGTTGTAATGACTTTGTTTGTGGATCGCTCTGCACGGCGGAACACACGAGAGCTCTCGAAGTGCTGGAGTGTTCAAAGCTAATCATATAATTGGACACAATAGTCGATGACAAATGGAGACGCTCAGAGCCTGCCAGCTGGGGAAGTGAATATGTAATCATTGTAAAATCATATCATTTTTGCATATTTGAAGACAGCTTAATAGAGTTTGTGCGTCGGAGCAGCGTCGAATGATGATCAGAGGCAGCGTTGCCGCGTTTGTTTTTCCAAGTCCTACTTTGTTAGAGCTATTTATCTTTCTCTTGATTAAAAGTGTTTCTCAAGAGTTTGTGTCTTCTGTTTGTTTGCGCGCCGTTACTTGGTGGATGTTCAAACAGACTTGTGGAAAACGGATCCCTTTGAGTCTAAAAGACAGTATCACAAAGACATAAACAGCAAGCAGCAATTATTCCCAAACTCAAGTATTTTAATTCTATATATACAAACGTATTATAAATATTTACATATATTAAGCTAGACCAAGACCTTCCTAAATATTGTCAGTTTACCCGTATGGAAATACAGTGTTATTACAGCTTTCGTATTTAAAATGCTACACTTTTGAAGATCAAAATTGTATATTTTAACTGCTTTACAGGCCTTTTTTGACATCTAACTGCAACTGTTTTGTTTTTTGAATGTCCAGAGGACCAGATTTAACTTTTTTTAGATCTAACTGCAACCTTTCCTTTAATTTTACAACAAAAACTGAGATTTATGACCAAAAAAAAAAAAAAACTTGCACCCATGAGTTGATGTTTTTAATCGCCCAGTTCAAATGTTTTCAACAGAATATAAGGTTAATTTAGTAAAACCTAGATCCATTTCTGAATTAAACAGAAAAAACCTGTCAATTCACTCAACTATTCTATGACAGGCAAGTTCTGCAACATATTGAGAAGGAAGAGTTTTAAAATAAGAGAGTATTGAAATATTGCTCTCTTTTTACCGGTCGGTCTACATTCCTACCCTCATTTATGGTCACAAGCTCTGGGTAGTGACT